CAAAATATCGACATGATCCCAGAAACTAACTCATCAAAAAGCAAAACAACTAAGACAGGAGAACCCTAAAAATGAAATCTGACAATATCATTTAAAATATTCTTAGCCAGAGAGGAAAGAATGAGACACGTTAAGAAGTTAATGTGGGTGCACAGGTAGGGTCTGCCTTAGGGACCATTCATTTGGGTGCAAGTAGCAAGTTCATTTTAAATTGACTTTAAAATAATCAAGTAAAGAGGGATGTAATGAAAGAGTCCTGGGACCAATCACAAAATCCCAGGGCAGCTCAGCCTCTTTGGTGGTTGCGAATCTCAAAACACTCAGATATACAAAGAACACCACATCAACTTGTATCTGGTTTTCATCTTCCCGTTTTCCCAGATTGGAGGGATATAAAAATGTGGTTCCTTGGGGGACATTCTGGCCACTTTTGTTCAAGGGAGTTCAATGGCTAGCAGTTGGTTTCCACCCCTTTGTCCTGTTGTCCCATTTGTGCTCCAGGTCTGAACGCTCTGCTCCTTTCTTGCTGCGCCAGATCTGATTCAATGGGGCCGCACACAGCACTTGACACAGCAATGGCCTGATGAAGACAGGCAACTACTTCCCTCACATAAAAAGATCCAGCCACTGTGCATGGCGGCCAGCTAACGCATGGCATTCTTTTACGAAAGAAGAAGGAAAGAATGGAAATTGAGATGCACCAAGCAGTCTGTTGTCCCTGCCATCCTCCGGGCGTGGGACTGGGATGAAGGTGGGAGCAGGTCCTTTCTCAGGGTCCAGAAGCAGCCCTCCCTCTGCGGATCAGCCCCACACTCGGACCCTGCCAAAGGTTGTAGGAACTGCTGTGCTCCGAGGCCATTCCAATATCTACTCTACCCGGTCCGCTTCCTCTCAACACGCCCCCTCCACATCCTTAGAGGGCTCCTCTTCCCCAGTTCACTCTCTGGGACAGGTTGTGCTAGTCTTCTGTCAGGTTAGGGCTTTGCCAAAAACATTAAGACAATAAAAGTCACTTGCACTTAGTTCCTGTATGACGTGATGGTAAATGTTCTAAAGGCTTTACATATTTGATTAAATTGTCATTGTAGCCCTATGAGGTAGACAGCATTGTCCTTCCTTTACCAATGGGACAAGAGAGCCTCACAGCCAGGAAGTGACAAGACCCTCCTAAGCTAGCTGACCTGGCATGGGAACTCTAGCTCTGACCCACAGCCCTGTATGCTCCTCTGCTCGCCTGTAGGCAGAGTTGACTTTCTGCCCTGACGCATCAAGAGTCCAGGGGAGACCAGTGATCTGGCTGCCACCCCCTAATACAAACAGCGAGGAGCAGGGAGCACAAATTGAAATTCAAAGAACTACCTTGCCGTGACCTTCTAGGCTTACAAAGCCATCAGGAGCTCATGTCCTTGGTTCACTGTCTTTGCTTCGCTCTACACATCCGTCTGTTTTCCTCTTACCAAGCCATTGAACGGTTCAATTATGCTCCATGGCCACAACTCCTGAGGTTCTCATCTCTCCACTCCGGTAGCCGGCCTAGACCAACTCCCCGTCAGACTCAGCTCCAGATTGCTAGGTGAGCCTGTGTCCCAGGTTCCGTCCCTTGTCCTCTCAGCCATGGTCAAGAAGCATGGTGACTCTGCACAAACCCTGAATCTCAGAGACCTAAGGCCGTGACCATGAAAAGGATCTCCTTGCCTCTGTTTTTCAAATAAAAGCACGTGTACAAAATACTGAAGATGAAAGTCATAGCCAAACAACCAAGTATTGAACCCAAAAGTATGTGGCCAGGAAGAGCCGAGGCTGGCAGAGCTGTACATAATAGAACAAATGAAGCGAAGAAAGGCACAGACTCACTTCTTTGGGCAGAAATTAGAATGTTAGCACATGAAAGAGAAAAGTTAAATGACTCAATTCCCACTTTGCTTTGCTGCCAGGGGGAACAATTCCCGACAAGAAATGGTAGAATAGCTATCTTTAAGGGGACACTTCCGGGAAGAAAAATGAGAATGATAATAGAGCATTTAATATGCTTTAAGTGAATTTAAATGCTCAGAACCAGAATAATTACATCTCAGGGCACAGAATGTACCAATAAAACGTGTCTACATTGACAGCAGCGGCATCTCTGCTCTTTTAACAAATGACAGAGAAGGAAAGTTCGGCTGGAAGACTGCGGGAAGGTAGGCATTGTTCTGTTTTACCATCAAGGTTCTGGAAACATATATTAATGAGCTTGAAATTAGAGCAAGACAAAACCTGAAGGAGTTATCATTAAAAATGACATGCAACTAGTTATAACCTAAAAAGATCATTGGTAGGAGTTAGCAAAGTGTTATTTGATTAATTTATTCATTTGTCCAAACCCTTATTGCGTATGTTTTAGATGCCACACACAGAGGGTATAAACGTGTATAAGACTGAGCTTTACCATCAACCTGGTAGCATTCAGAAAAATTAACAGAAATACAGAGCAAACTAGCCTCACCTTCTTTTTTGGTACCTTTGCCAGGCTGGTAGAACAGCTCCTTCTTCAAAGATCACATACCTGATACTTAAGGCCAGGTGTGTTCCACTAGTTGAGCTATCCCCCCATAGAAGGCTCCAACAGGGGTGAGGAAGAAGTATGTCTTTCTTCATAATGAGCTCCAAAAAGAGCACATGGGCAGCCCATACTCCAGGAAACACAATGTCCATCTTACCGCCAAAGCTAGAGCAGTTGGCTCTAAAATATTCGATCTGGTAGGTGGAGTAGGGTACCCAGGGCCCAGTAGTGAACACAGTAAGCAATCAAATGGAGTCATGGGTCAAAAATCAATGATGAGCCCCGGCTGGGTGGCTCTGTAGGTTGGGGCATCGTCCCATACACCAGAAAGGTTATGGGTTTGATTCCTGGGCAGGGCACATACCTAGATTGCAGGTTTGATCTCAGTTGGGTGCGTGTGGGAGACAATCGATTGACGTTTCTCATATCAATGTCTCTCTCTCTCTCTCTCTCTCTCTCTCTCTCTCTCTCTCTTTCAAATCGATGAACATATCCTTGGATTGGGATTAATTTTTTTTTAATCAATAATGAGGTTCCAATCTTGGGGAAAACAGAAATGGTAAGAATGAGGACTGATGTTAACTTAGTCAAAAGTCTGTGATCAGGGTAATTCCCTGTCCAGGGATGGGGCTTTCTGAAGAGCCAGAAACCTGGTCAGAATTTGCAGTAGAGTGGTATATTCCTCAGTATCCACAGACCACTTCAAGGGCATTTATTGCACACAAGGCATCAATTTTAGGTTATCTCTCTCCAGCTTGATAGTGAAGAGCTTAAGACATGTCCAGGTTCCACAATCAGTATATTTCCTTACTATTTATTCCTGCCAAATAAGGATATTTTTTAATTCATAGTTGTAAGGATATCTAGACAGTTCTGGATCCTCAAATAAAACGTTGACTCACAAGGAATAGATTCATCACTGAAGATTGCTTTCCATGTACCAGTAGACAGAAGCACTTCATATGCAAGGCGTAACTTTCAAAAAACTCTTTCCACTTGAAAGATGAATGCCCATTCATTCTTTGGTTGAATGCATCTTTGGAAAATGTTTCTACATAGTTTGTGGTAGCCATGGGTCAAAAATCAATGATGAGCCCCGGCTGGGTGTGGTTTTTGAAACACATCAATAATGTATCATCAGTTTCTTTCTCTGACAATGACAGGATCATTAGCCACACTAGAGGCCCAGTGCATGAAATTTGTGCATGGGTAGGTAGGGTCCCTAGTGGCTGCTGGCTGGGCCTTCTTTCATTCCACACTGCCCCCTGGTGGTCAGCGCACGTCATAGCGTGTGATCGAATTCCTGGTCAAACTCCCGAGGGGACACATTACATATTAGGCTTTTATATATATACATACTAGAGGCCCGGTGCATGAAATTTGTAGATGGGGGCTGGGAGGGACCTCAGCCCAGCTGCACCCTCTCCAACCAGGGACTCCTCAGGGGATGTGTGACTGCCTCTCACAATCTGGGACTGCTGGCTCCTAACTGCTCACCTGCCTGCTTGTCTGATTGCCCCTAACCACCTCTGCCTGTTTGATTGCCCCTAACCATCTCTGCCTGCCTGCCTGATCACCTCTAACTGCTCCCCTACTGGCCTGATCTCCCCTAAGTGCTCTCCTGCTGGCGTGATTGCCCCTAACCACCTCTGCCTCACCCCACACCCGGGACCCAGGATTCTCTCCTCCGGGCCGGCTGCAGCCACAGGTGACCGTGTGCAAGCGGCTTTGCCTGGGCCAGAGCCACAGGCATCCGGTACCATGGGGTGAGAGGGTGGCTTGTCCCTCTCCCAGGCTGCAGCCTGGCTGGTCCCCCATTCCTCTCTCGCAAGTTCATTTGTGCCTGGCTGGTCCTCATTCCTCTCTCCCCAGTGTTGAGTGTCTGAGCCGTTACAGCATGATGGCGTGAGGGTGTGATGACCATTTGCATATTAGCTCTTTACTGTATAGGATGATTGAAGTATGGTCTTAAGAAATTCTGAGATCTTGTCCTGAACATTAGAAATGATCGTCCTTGAGCTCTGAATGACAAATTCCATTTAATTCAAGAGGCTGACTCTAATTTTGAAATAGATCCAGTCATTCTAAGTAACTAAAGTAATAAAGTCACACAAAAATGTTTATCCCACCTTCAAAAAATGTCTTTTTATAAACCATTCTATGTCAGTATAAAAAATAGAGGTTTGTTGTTATTGTTGTTAATCCTTAGCTGAGGGTATTTTTCCATTGATTTTTAGAGAGAGTGGAAGGGAGAGGGACAGAGAGAAACATCCATGTGAGGGAAACACATCGATTGATTGCTTCCTGCGCACACCCCAACCAGGGCCAGGCAACTTGCACACACCCCAACCAGGGCCAGTTACATGCTCTTGACCGGGACCCTTCAGTCTGCAAGCCGACGCTCTACCCACTGAGCCAAACTGGCTAGGGCAAAAAATAGAATTTTGTATTCACTTACCACTTCTCAGCACATCACACTGAAAAGATGTACATATTCTAGCTATGATCCCATCATAGTCAACGTTCTACAGTTTCTCTCAGCCTTCGATCAAGAGGAGGTATATTGTTGGCTACTGGTTAGTGTCTGCGAAATAGTTGAGAAAGTCTGTGTGACTGTTGGCATGGGTCCTCGTGCTGTTGTGTAGTCCTCCCCATGGCTCACAAATCATTTCAGTTTAAATGAAAAAAAGTCTTCTAATGGCACAAGCTTTCAGTGATAAAGCCTGTTGACACTTCTCTGTCCTACATGCATTACACACATCCAAGGAGTCCATTCACACTCTGCACAGCAGTGGTCTGCAAAATATAGGCTGGGAATTCATACCTCGTCGTTTCTCTTCTTATTTTCTTTACCATGAATAGTATGTAATATCCAAAAGCGTTATTGAATCAAGGAATTTTGCAAAATTTTCATTCACTTTTTGACTGGTTCAATGATGTGGTTCATACATATTTTGAATGATGCCTCTGGAGTTTTGGATTCTTTTCTACATTTGGATATAAAAGTCACTTACTTCATACTAACAACAATTATTTTGTAGAAGGACTAGGCGGGGAGTGGGGTTGGGGGTGGGGGGACTTGACTGG